GGTCAATATGGCTCGCTAAAAATCAGTCATCAGTATTGGCTCAAAAAATCTCTATCCGTGCACCCCTACTGAAAACAGTGCTCAGGCTTATTCTTGATGGACAGCTGCCCACAAATGCAGCAGTTTCCGACTGGTTCCAAGTCTCACTCACCTGGTACTTTGGTGCATTATTGCACTGTGGGAAGCTGCCATTTACCTCTCCATTATGTAGCAAGTTATTGTCCACCAGGTTCCAACCCCAGCTCTGGTCGTCACTGCCCAGCAGCGCCACGTAACCCTGACATTGCATGGGAGCCCGTTTTGTGGCAATTCCAATTACAGCTACCGTTCCAAGAGGGCCTTCCCACCAGACCTCCCATGCGTGACGACCTTCACTGAAGCCAATCTTGGTCCTTGCCCCATCGGTGCTCTGAGCAATGGGGTTCCGGTGCAAAGTAAACCCATTCTTCTTGATGTAGACGTTCCTGGAGCAGTCATTGGTGCTGAAAGCATGATGAAAGGCACGTACCTAAGACAAGAGAGAGAGAGAAGAGAATTTTTGGACTGGAGAGAACAAACCATGAATGCAATTGTTTCATTAACATCCTGCAGCACATTTGTACTCAGTTTCAAGCAATAGTTTTTTAAAAAGCATGGTTGCATGTGATGACACAAGAAAGTAGAAAAGATGGGTTTGCTACCCAAAGCCTCTAGGTACAAAACAAGCCAGAGAACCAGAGTGCACCTGGACTTCCGAGATCAGGAGCAGCTGAGCTGAGGGACAGAGAAGGCAGGCTAGAGATGCAAATTACAGATCAAGGCTAGGAACAGACGTTGCATTTGTCCCTGGACAAGTCGTACCTGTGTTTCTCCCAAAACAGAAATATCTAAGCACTGTATGTACATACATCACCCTTTTAATAAAGGTTTAGGGAACAGCCAAATGTACCACTGTTCTTCTGCCATTGATTCCACAATGCAACCCCCAGGACAATTGTTCAGACACACTTGGCAATATCCTGGGATAAACTATTACTACTTCTCAGCCCGTGAACCTTTTTAAGGATTTGTCATGGACAGACATCTGAACACTGCACTTTGTCCCAGGATAAAACAGATTATCCTGGGATACATGCGACATCTGTCTGCAGCCTAACCAAATCAGAGAGGTGTACACTCCTGTGAGCCAATGCTCACATCATCTGCAAGCCAATGCTCACATCATCTGCAAGCACCAGATGGGCGATGAGGACGAAGGGACACATTACATGGCAACCCCATTGAGGGCTGGGAAAACACCAGAGTCTACATGTCACAACTTGCCAGCTATTGCTAGGTCCCCTCCAAGAGTCTTGAAGTGACACCACTTAAGGCGAAGGCTAACTCTGGGCCATGCTCCCCAGCTCCAGTTAAGGTCGGCTCTACAGATACAAAGCAAGCAGGCTACTGGCCTCCAGAATCCCAGGATGCACTGCTCCCAGCACCCCCCCACCCACAGCAGGGATAGAGCCCAGGGGACAGGCACCTGGGCACACTCCTGCTCACCTGCCCCATAGCAGCCAGTCAGAGCTGTGCCAGCATGGAGCTCGGTGCGGGGGCTCACCTGGCCTTCATCTGCTACCAATAAGTGCCCTCCAAGCATCTCGAAGCAGCGCCACTTGAGGCAAAGGCCTCGCAGCTCCTGTTAGGGCCCCTTCAGTCTGCCCCACAGAGACAGAAGGAGCGGGCTGCCACCCCCAGCATCCCAGGGTGCACTGCTCCCAGCACCCCCACAAACCCAGAGCAGGGCTGGTGCCGGTGAAAGCCAGGGTGCCCGGGCTCACCTTGCCCCTGCCGGCTATTGCAGGTGCCCCACCAGCGTCTCCAAGTGACTCCACTTGCGGCGAGGGCCACCCCTGGGCGCGCTGCCCGGCCGGCCCCGCTGGGGGCCGCTGCAGCCTGCTCCAGGGAGCCGGGAGGGGGCTGCCCCGCTGCCACCCCGAGGCGGGAGCGCCGGACGCGGCTCACCTTGCCCTTGTAGGTGGGCACGTTGCAGAGCACGTCGGTGCGCAGCGCCTCCTCGGCCAGGCAGGGCGCGGCC